ACCTAAAAATACCTTTATTACATATTTTTACATTTGGGAGATGCCACAATTTCTTAAGAGAATATGCATACATATAAAAAATATACTATCACAATTAGTATCAAGATAGTGCTTTGGTATTGTAAAATAAAAATGTTAAGCCTGGCATCAAAAATAATATTGAAGAGCCAAAAATTGCCATCATTTTTCATACTTCTGAACTCTAATCAGTAAAATTGCAGTACAATAACCACTCTACCCTAGCTTTTCAGAACCCTAGTGGAGTATCTCCATTTGTCTTAAACACTCTCACAACATTCTCAAAATAAAAAATCAATTTCGTATCATTTGGCTAAGAAAAGAAAGGAAGAAAAAGACACGCAGAATCATGAAATCCATCAAGATGGCAATGTGCAAAGGGGAGTTACTAGATACCATTTCACATTATATTCCCTGATTCAAAGATGCACTTTAAGAAGGGCTGAATGCTAACGCAGATATCTGCTGTAACACATAACAACAACTATGCACTAATATTATTCCACTCGGTTACTTTACCTGCTTTCTTGGTAATGATAGGGGTGGTGCAGCAGGACATCCTGCAAGAAACGTTCCATCAGACTACTACTGGGGACCTCAGCATCTCGCTCTCCTGCTCCTGATCCTGCTCCTCCTGATCCTCCCGGTCCTCCTTGTCCTGCGGGTCCTCCTTGTGCTGCCGGTCCTCCTTGTCCCGCGGGTCCTCCTTGTCCTGCTGGTCCTCCTTGTCCTCCTGCTCCTCCTGCTCCTCCTGCACCTCCTGCTCCTCCTCCACCACCACCACTCCCACCACCCATCCGTTCTCTATTCTGTGCGGTCATGAATCTGTGTTCTGGACTGTTCACATGCTGTACAGAAGAAAGAAACTGAGTATTTTTAAATGGGTCATATTCGTCAGCGAGAGTTTCACAAAATGGATTCATTTACAAATACGCTTCCTGATAGACGTATACGTTGAAATACCCTTTCTATAAAGCAATTCTAAAATATACATCTAAAATCCGTAAGATTACCTTTCTCTTAGATATAATAATGACGTCTCTCTAAGTCTCTCCTTAGAGAATCGTCTTAAATGTGGGCGATTTGTGCAAAAGATGATGCTTAATCACAGCATAACAAGCATCTCTTCTTTAAGATTTTTTTGTATCGATTTTCAGAGAGAAAAGGAGAGGGGGAGAGACATCTATGTGAGAGTGAAACATCAATTGGCTGCCTCCTGCGTGCCCTGTACCAGGAATCAAACCCACAACTTTTTTGTACTCAGGATGATGCCCAACCAACTGAGCCACCTGAGCCAGGGTATAAATATCTTTTCTAAATCTCATTTTCTGTGTGGTGTTTGTATATAAAAGTACAGTATCTTTTTATGGCAGCCCAACAAGCTTTTTAAACTCACTTATCAATACTAATAGTTTACCTAGGTAACTTTAGAATTTTCTATTCCACAATCACATTGTGTACAAATAAGAATAGTTTTATTTATTCTTATCTAATCTTTATCATTGTAATTCTTTTTCTTTTTCTTATTTATCTGACTAGGACCTCTGGTAAAATATTGCATATAGTTTAACTCAAGCATCAAATCTATTTGTTCCTCAATATATTTGGATCTAATCTTTGTTTTTATTTTTAAACCTATTTTTATTATTCTTGCTAATACAATGTCCCTATTTCTCTTCTTTCTTGCTGTCTTGTGAACTATTTTTATTATTCCAATTTGTTCCTATTAACTTACAGATATATTAGTCCATTAGTGGGAACAGTATATAACAAGCAACCTGACCTACCAGTCTAAAATTATTTGTTACTTTTACTCTCTTCTCGAGCAATGCAATGTCCAATTAACTCAATTTACTTTCCTTCCAATTTATATGCCATTTCTGTTAATCCCATGTGACATTAATTATTTAGATTGCCTACATATTTATACTTCCATTGCTCTTTATTCCTTCCCATATCTCTGAGCTTCCAACTGGAATTCTTTTCCTTGCACCTGAAGAAATACTTTTTCTATTTCCTTTAGTAAGGGTCTGCTAGACATAGTTCCTTAATTTTTGTCTTTGTAAAATAAAATGTTTCTATTGCACCTCCTTTTAAATGATATACTTATTAAATATAGAATTCTAAGGTAGTGTTATTTTCTTTCTTTTGGCTTCTACTGTTTTTGTTTAATATTCAGCCACATCGGAGTTCCTTATTTCTTCACTGCCTTAATAGTTCTCCAAAGCCTTGAAATTTGAACTTTCAAAGATAGGACAAATTATTTTTTGCTGTCATTAACAGTCTTTTTTAAATGTCCGTTTAGTGCAAGAATATCCAAATGTCTAAAAATTACTTTAAGCAAAAAAAAAAAAATTACACAAGAGCTTATTGCATAAAACGTGTGTTAAAGATTTAATATATTTTATCATTATCAAAGGTTCAACAGATAATCTCCCAGTCAAGTGATGATATAATTCATGAGAGAAATATTAAAAAGAGTTTTGAGATTTATTATCTGCCTCCTCGTGTTTATAACCAGCATTAAAAAGTATTTCTTTTTTAAAAGGCGGAGGTGTGGAAATCACAATAATAAAACTTTTCCTTAATATAAATTTAAGTGATTACTGTTAGATAATTAAACAAGGCAAATGCACTAAAAAGATTTTTTTTCACACGTTATAAACCTGTGTTTGATATGTAAGATTAAAGTTTAGCACTAGCAGAACCAGAACTTGATTATACTACAACTTCACCTATGACACGATTCCCTTATGAACATAAATGCAAAAATCCTCAACAGAATACTTACTAGCAAACCAAACCCAGCAACACATAAAAAGCATTATACACCGTGATAAAGTGTAATTTTTCCCCAGGAATGCAAAATTGGTTTAAAATCTGAAACTCAATCAATTGTAATTGCTATAATAGACTGAATTCTGTTCCCGCCAAATTTATATGTTGAAGTTCTAACTGCCAAAATGACTCTGTTTGGAGACAAGGCTTTTAGGAGCTAATTAAATCACATCATCTAGAAACATTAACTCAAAGTGAATCGAAGATCTAGATGTAAAAACTAAAACTTTAACACTCTTAAAGAAAAACACAGGCATAAATCTTCATGACCTTGGATCAGGCAATCCTTATGAGACCCATCACACATGCAACAAAAGAAAAACAAAGTTCAACTACTGTAAAATGTAAAACTTTTGTGCATCGAAGCATAAAACTAAAAGTCCTTACCTTATTTTACAACGTCTTACAGAATCTAATTCTCTGAATTCTTTGCCTATCACTCAACCCTCTCCCACCTCACGCTCTCCCTCTACTGCAGTCACAATGGCCACTTGGCTTTTAGGTTAGCATGCCAACCATCCATCTGTCTCAGGGTCTCTATCCTTGCTCTCTGTTCTCTCTACCTAGAAATTCTTCCCCTACAGGTAAGCAAGCCTGGCTCCTGCACTTCATTCAAATCCCAACTAATGTTATTTCCTGAACCTCAGCTAACCACCCTACCTAATATTATACTCCCTCCCTTATTTTATTTCCCTCGTAACATTTATCACAATCTGACATAAGTATTAAGTTTATATATCCATTTTCTGTTTGATTGTACCATAATATAAGTTTCATAAATAAAAGGACCTGGTTTTGTTCATGGTCATATCCCTAGAACCTTAAACAGTGTCTGTCATTGAGAAGGTTGTTATTATGATCTGTTTAATGAATGAATTTTTTAAAATGACTAGAATGTGAAAGAAGAGGTAGTCACTCAGAAGTCCTTTGAGGTGTAATAACAATATTAACAGGGTCCTCTCACCTCGTCCAGATCGGTATAGCGCAGGAGGCAATAGCTGCAATATCCGTATCTGTTTGGCATGTTGAATAACCAAAGTCAAAAGGTATTGTCGTTGAATATTCAAAGACTGGGGAAAAAATGGCAAAAATCACAATTCCTTACTATCACAAGGAAAATAGCTACGATTAATATCAGAGAACAGAATTTCGTTCTTGAAACCTAACCACTCTTTTTTCTCATAATTATGAAAATAGATAAGGCTTCTTCCCATGAGATACGGAATCAATCAGTGAACCTAAAGTAAAGATGATCGCATTAGGACTGATACAGTATTGAAGAATACCGTACTCAATTTTAAAGACAAATTACTATTTCTAAGTTGTTACTATCGTATATTTTCTATACACTAATGAGGCTCATGAATTTTCCCATTATGTTTCTATACAAAATCCCAGGTTACTTAAATTGCCAGTGTCATATGTAACATCTAATTCTCTGTCATGAGAGGAAAGATCACACTTGGATTTTCTGTTTAGTCCAGAAAGGGGCAGATTTTGAAATACTTTACCCAACAAAGTTGCTGAAAATAAAAATAACAACAAATTTAACCTCTGAAATGCAAGACATTTCTCTGACAATTACATAAACCAAATGAGGAATTTTTTTCCAATTGGTGTAATGAGATTTCTCTACAAATATTTTCCAAGTTTCTACCCCTTAAAACTATAATCCTTTAACAATACATACTGCAGTGATTTCTAAATGAGAATAAATATCAAAATCATCCCCAAAAATTTTGATTTAGCAGAGCTGAGACAATCTAGAATTTAGAATTTTTTAAATTCCCAGGTAACTTTTATCTACATCTAATTCATTCACTGACACAAAGTATATATAGTTTATGATTATTTGAGTAACAAATTCAATACAGTTTTTGCTGTTTTCTTAAAGTTAAAATAAAACTGTAAGAAATAATTTTATCACATTTTAAATTCTAATTATTGTAAACATTGTAGGTTGGGAAATATAAAACAAAATGATCCTATAGCATTATGAATATTTCTGATAAGAAGGATGGCTCTGCAACAGAAAAAGTTGACTCATTAAAATCAATGTTTAAAAATTATTTCAGAGTCTTAACACCAGTAAAATGAGAACAGAAAATAGCTTCATTAAGTAAAATGCTGTAACATTCACTTACCTATTACTTTTTAGTATGAGAAACTGACTTTTCTACTTCCCACACTTATGTGGAAAGTGAATCAATTAAACCAGCCTCTGAAATAAAGAATATATAAGAAGTGACTTACTTGTAATTTAGTTTTATTTCCATTTACTTCATTTGTAATCTGAAGCAACAAAGTGAATCAAGCTTTAAGTTTATTTATAGATATGAAAATTTTCAGGTTGAGAGAACCCTAGAGCTTAAACCTAAACGTTGAAAATCATTACATAAAAAACTTTTTAGTGCTTTCTTAATGAAAACATTCATTGAATGAAAGGCAAAGTGAAAGCATGAGCCTAATATCACACACACACACACACACACACACACACACACACAATCGAAATACTTCAAATATTTTTAAAATCTTTAACCTTTATGTCCTTCAACTCCCGTTGCATTATTACCTGCCATTTCCATCATCTTCAGTGTCATATACATTCTACAATGACAATGAGCTACAATGAATCAGAAGCACCTGTCGGCATTTTTTAAAACTCACATGCTAGGACTCACCTGAAAAACTTACTGAATCAAAATCCGCTGAAGAGACAAGCCCATGCATATTCCACATATTTTTAAAAAATATTTTTTATTGATTTCAGAGAGGAAAGAGAGAGATAGAAACATCAATAATGAGAAAGAATCATTGATCGGCTGCCTCCTGCACTCCCCACACTGGGGATGGAGTCTGCACCCCGCAACCCGGGCAAGTGCCCTGACAGGGGAATTAAATCATTAAGTCCTGGTTCATAGGTCCTCGCTCAGCCACACTGGCCCAGGCAATTCCACATATTAAAAATGCTCCCGGGTGACTCTGATATAGGTTGAGCCAATAATATGTCATTCCTTTATGTACTAATAAAATTCTTACTTAAAAGGATCATTTCTTTGGGGTCTGGGATTGTATTGCATTGCATGACTAACTAGGTCTTTTTATACAATCTCTGAATTCTACTGGTACCTGGTATTTTTAAGAAGTAGCAAGTCATTTACCTTCAGCAGAAAAGGGCAGGTATTTCATCAGCTGTATTAGTCCCAGCAAACATCTGTAAATTAAAATAATTTTTTTGAAAAAGATAAGCTCCGTAAGTGTCTAACACTTGCCAAATAAACACCTCTAAGTTATATTTCTTTGAAAAGAGACATAATTAAGTTTCCAAAAATAAGAAGAGAAAAAATATTAATTCTTGAACACCCTAAATGACTGCCTAAGATGCTCTAGAACAGAGTAACTGTGATGGTCCATATAATCCCCATCAAAAACATCAAATCTCTGGGATTTGAGAATAGCAGCTGGAGGTGCCTCTAAGGTTAAGAACAAAGATACCATCAAACTCCAAATAAGCTCCATAAGAAACTTTTAAAAGAAATATTTATGTGAAATTAAGTTTAGGTTCTGAACTCACCACCCGACTCTTAGTTCCTGTGTTAATTTTAATGAAAGATACTGTCAATTCTTTACCATCTATCTATATCTATTGACAACTCAGCCAAATTATCAATTCTTTATTTTTTTTTCCACACTGTTGTAAGCAGTGTTGATTCTTATCCAGGATTACTGGTGAACACAAAATGCCGCTGCTTTGACTCAAAAGAGCTGGTGACAGCGTTGTATATTCAAAGAATAGATATTCAGCACCTATCCTGTATAAGGTGCCATGGTAGAAGCTTTAAGGGATAGAGAGAAATATAAGACAAGCTTTCTTGCCCTTAAGAAGTTTAAAATGGAATTAGGAAATTAACGCAAAAATACCAGGTGGTATCTGAGAAATGCGTAAGCACAAATAATAACTGCTAATTTGTTTTTAACAGGAGGGGCCAGGATGCATAGTAGATATGAGTGCTTTTTGTTTTGTTTTTTAAAACTGGAAATTGGAAAATGGGTAGAATTAGCTTACACAAAGGTCAGAAAAAGATATTCCAAGTAACAAAAAAGCAAAAGTACAGAAGCAAGAAAGCACAAGGTATATTTGGAGATATTGAGCTGACAAGTACAGAGAGAGCTGAGGTTTCCTTTAAGAATTTAAGGGGCAATAAAGCAAGAAAAGTAGATTGAGTTTTGACATGATAAGGTTTCAAAGTGGACTAAAGAATCTAGACCATATCTTTAGGCAGTATGGAAATATTTTGGAAAGAAGCATATATATATGCTTTAAGAAAGAGTGCTTTAAAGAAGTGCTTTAAGAAAATTCTGGAACAATGGTTATTTCCTACTCAAAGGAGCTTTTCCAGGGTAAGGAATATAACTGTTACACTATTCAGCACCATTTCCTAGAATACTGGAGAAATTAATTTATACCCAAAATATTCAAGTTCAAAGAAACAGTATCCTTTAGAGCAAAAATTTAGTCTCATTATGCTTGCAAATTAGGAAAACACTCACAATTTTTTTTCTTTAAAAATGACTTTTATTCATTTTTATTATGAAAGTAAAACGTACTTATTATAATGCAATTATATAGCTAAAGAAATAATGAGCATAAAAATCAACCATAATCCCACTATCCACCATTAATTAACATTTGTCATATATTCTTCTTTGTTCTAAACATGTTTTTATAAAAATTGAATGATACTATTTGGTCCATTCTATAGCCTCCTCTGTTACTTAACCCAGTGGTCGGCAAACTCATTAGTCAACAGAGCCAAACATCAACAGTACGACGACTGAAATTTCTTTTGAGAGCCAATTTTTTTAAACTTAAACTATATAGGTAAGTACATTGTTATTAACTTAATTAGGGTACTCCTAAGGCTTAGGAAGAGCCACACTCAAGGGGCCAAAGAGCCGCATGTGGCTTGCAAGCCTCAGTTTGCCGACCACGGACTTAACCATATAGATAAGCACCTCTATGTGTTACATAATTCCAAAACAGAATGTTTAATGATTGCATAGTATTTATTTCATCTTATTAGTGTAAGAAGAAAGCCTTCTTATCTGCTAGAACCCAATAATTAGTGAACTTTTAAAAAACTGTATACACACATAATCTTACTATTTTATCTAACTTAAAATATAGAAATGTATGTGTGTTTTATTTAAGGTCAAATCAGGCTTTTTTGTTTCACTGAGGGCTTTCTGTGCATAGGAAAGCGAGAGTTCCGAGTCATTTTTTTTTCCCCATGCTTTCAAAAACCTCATCATAATAATTTACACTCAACAAGTTTCCATTTTGCTCCTCTAAAGCAGAACAAAAACTTAAAGACATATTCAAAACTGAGAGCACCATTATGAGTGTTTAGGAATTTGTGCAACCTTTTACAGTTGTCCTGCCCAATTAAGAATTTTTGCACAAGCGTTTTTTTATAGTCCAAAGCATTTAACTTATTTTTCATAAGTGTAACTACTATAAAAATGACAATGCTTACACTCTTATTTCATTGGGGTATGTTAATGTTTAAAACTGCACAAAGCGACATGGGCAATGAACAGAGACTCTGGACTGTCTGAAAGGATTTCACAACTGTCTCAAAACCAACATAAAATTGCATTTATTTTTTTTTTCCTGATTATTTCTTGCACACCTGTTCTGTTGACGTGAGTTCAGAGCTATAGTGTGTGTGTGTTCCTCCCGCTGACTTCGGTGTTGAAATAGAAGCTAACAAAATTCAGAATCCCTATGGGAAATATTTGTCAACAGTCTGACAAGAGAGAGAGCAATTTACTAGAAAAGACAAGAGAACAGCAATTGGTCTGTTGAATAAAATAATTTAATTACCTGTCTAGGAAAGGGGGCAGGATTGGGAAGCAAATACTATTTTTTAAAATCGTAAATCATTGTCTCTTTCTTTACAACGTTAAACTGATTTGACTTCTCTTTTTTTTTTTTAATTACCCATTTTACGCTGGTTTAGCTCTAGTGACAAGCATTATCCTGGACACCTCAATTCAGTCTTATTAAAATAATAATAGCTAGCTTTTAGTGAGTACTTAATCTGACCCAGGGACTATGTCAACAGTTTCACAAGCATTATTTCATCTGAATATCAAATAGATTTACAAAATCTAGAAACTGAGGTTCAGAGAGAAACGGTATTTTGTTCCAGGTCACACACTAATACCCAGTGCAGCAGGGATGTGACCCTAGGTCAATCTGAGCAGTCCCCGCTCCTAACCTCTTCGCTACCACAAAATGCTCCCTTCTCTGCATTTTCGGGAATGCTAATTGCTTGTTTTAATATTAGGTGAAAACAAATAATTAGGAATCTAATTTGCCTCAATAAACACTGTCACATATTCCAAAGAAAAGAGTAAAACTAATATTTAGCATAATTGCATCATTGCTCCCATTCTGAGATGAGCGCTGACAGTACCTTGGATTAGTGACTTTCAAAATTAAATATCGTGGCACAGGAAAGCAATACATTGTGTATCACAACCCAGCAGGCACACATGCACGAAGGCGAAGGCGCGCGCGCACACACACACACACACACACACACACACAGTTTTGCGAAAACAATACCTTCATGATGCGTAATGTAATGCATTCTGGTCTTTTCTATGCTATTTTGTTTCCCTTTTTTTTTAAGTGCTCATTATGACTCACCAAATTAATTTCACAATTTGCCAATGAATGGATTGAAAACTACAATTTGTAAGAAAAAACACTGCCTCACATTATTAAGCAGAGCAAACACTATGTTATAAAAGATGGTTGTGACCCTTAATTCAGTCTATTGCCATTATATCCAATATCTTGGCCATTATAGTGATGCTTTTCAAGTATTTAACGAGTGTCTTTACTAAGGCTGACGGTTGTTGGCCAAGGTGCAGGGGGAAAAATCACTGCCTTTCACGCTTTGGGTCCAAATCAGTGCGCGCTGATAAGGCAGTGGAGGGATGTTTACGCATCTATATAGAGAACATCTTCAATGTATTAAGTAGAAAAAGCAGATCACATTAGTACCCCAAATATGTAACAAATTAATATAATTAACGAAACCCCAATTAACAGTGACTCTCTTAAAGATGAGCTTGCTATGGGCTTTTTCAGTGTGGTTTTTTTTTTTCCTGATAATATCTATTTGCTGTAAATATATATATACCTCTATTCTGGGGGTAAAAAAACCGTTTTTGTTCCTTGAAAGCCAGTATCTCGTTACGCATTTCTTCCACGCGCTACCAGAATCACCGCGTCGGATAATGTTAGGAGCTGGAAAGGGCCTTTAGCCGCGCGTAATGACGACGGCGTAATTTGACCAGATTTACACAACTGTTGCACGGCGATAGTAAAATGATCGTTAACAAAAAAAACTAACGTTTCCAAAATAAATTCTAATCGCGGGAAGCTGGCAAAGACCGAAGTCTGGGGGCAGCTGGACACAGCGCAGGGCACACGGGGAAGGGGATTCGTAGACAGGTGGCTCCGGACCGGCCGCGGTCCCACAGGTGCCCGTGCGAGTTCCCGCGGGTACAAAGCCTCAACTCCGACCTCGGCGGCCGCCCCTCTCCCGGCCCCCGCGCAAGGCTCGTCCGCGGACCCCTCGGATCACGGAACCCGACGGAAACACAAGGCAGCCCGCGCCCCACCTCCACCCCGCGCCCCAGCCGCCGCGATCCCCGCCACCGCGATCCCCGCCCGGAGACGCCGGCCCCGCTCGCGCCCGAGGCGCAGAAAGGCACTGGGGAGGAGGGAAGCCGAGGACCTGCGAGGCGAGCGCGGGAGCCGGGCAAGCGGTCCGTGGGTCCCTCGGGAGGAAGAAGGCGCCCAGGGCGCGAGGCAAGCAGGCCCCACCCCCGGCCGCGCGCACAGAGCCCGCGGGCGTCGCCCGGGCTGCGCGCCGACTCGGCCAGCCCGCCCGCGCCCGCCCCTCCGTCCCCGCCGGTTCTCACCTCCGTGGAAGCCGCCGGATTCTTCCGGGCCCCGGAGGAGACCGAGGACCGGTGGGTGCGCTGCCGTCCTATTCCGGATCCATGGCGAGTGCCCGGACCCGGAGCCGTCCAGAGCGCCGCGGCCGCCGAGCCTGCAGCCCGCAGCCCGCAGCCCGCGGAGCCAGATATAGGAGCCGCCCGCCTCTCCCGCCGCTGCGAGAGGAGAAGCGGAATGAGAGCGTCACTGGCAGGACCTGGGCCCCCAGTCACGACTCAGCCCACGTCGTCCTCCAGGGGCAACGCTGCGTTGCAGCCCCGAATGAGGTTTGACGTCAAGGAAGGTGCGAAAACAAGGCCCCTTCTGACGCAGGCTCAGCGGACCGCCTCCAGCCCACCCCCCCTCCGGGCGCCTGAGCCCCCTCCTCCCGCCCCCAACACTCCCCTCCCTACATCTTTTAAAGCGAACACTTCCTCCAGGGTCAGGGCCCCGCTCCGAGCTTGTGAAATCAAACCTGTTCCAAACAAAATGACCAGGCTCAGAGCGCAGGGAAGGCGCGAGATAGACACCGAGGTGGTTACTCTCGGAGGGGCCAGCTAGAAAACGCTTGCCAATTCCGAGCAACACACAGGAGCTGCAGAAAAGAAAATGGGGCTCCGAGGGGCTGGCGATTTGCGCTGTTCCGGTGTGTTTACCGCAGTGAGCTGCATCTAACAAAAGCAGCTGTTCAATGGGCGCTTGATTGGTGCTAGACACTGGGCTTAAGGTTTAGATGGGATTCTTGCATTTCATCCGCAGGGCAAGCCTTTATAGGATCTTAGGATGAATCCTACTGTACCTTTTCACAAACGAAAAAAACCCTAGGCTTGGGGAGGTTAGGTATTCAAAGACCTGTACTGCACACGAAAGGGTTACGAATATTAACCAAAACCCACTCAGTTATTCAGTGAGATTCTGTACTACCCACTGCGAATGCAGCCTTGTGCAAAAACAGCTTAGTGTAATGAGGGACACAAACCTGAATTCATCACGCTACTGAATGTATTATAACCTGTGACAAGGAAAATAATCATACCTAAAATGGAGAAAGACTTGTTGGGAGAGCTTATGTCTTATGTAAAAAAAAAAAAAATTAAATCATAGATGTGCTACTTTGCTCTTTGGTTATTGCAATAATTATCATTACATGTTTTTTGATAAGCATGTGGGTTTGCCCCCCCCCCCTTTTTTTTAACTTGCCTATTGCTTTTGCATTCCTAGTTTACATTCTTTGTGTATTTTTCATCTCCTGCCTCTCCTGCTATATCTTTCTCCCATTTTAAACCGGCTATCGCAACTGTTCAGTTTATCACCCCCTTCAGATTTTTTTAAGACACAAACAAAAGCACTGATTTTTTTTTTTTTAAGGCAAGGTCTTTTCACATTTCAACCTTGGAATTGATGAAAGAAAACTCATTATACATTAACCCAGTCCCCATGACATAATGTATTTCACAGATGCTAAGACACACATTTTTTACACTGAAAACAGGATGCGTTTTACAAACTGAGCTCTTAACATTGGTCAGGGGGGGCTGTATTAACGCGGCTGCCGTTGCCGCCACAGATAGACACTTGGATACGGCTGGCTGTTCACACTGCCCTTATTTCAACTGAATTAAGTGCATTGTGTTTTAAAACTCACAACCCTAGAAGGAGTGGATTAACAGGTATAGGAGTCTCTCAGACTTGAAGAGGATTTTTCCTAGGAAAAGAGGGCAGATTTCCCTAGGACCGAAAAGATTCCTCCAGCAATTAGCAAAGAGAGATATGGGACCGGCTAAAAGCTATTAGACCCCTGAGTTACGCACCAAGTACATTAGTTTTTAATGCATTTTGGAAACCTATATCCGAACATTTAATAAGCCTAACACACACATACATACACACACACACACACACACACACACACACACTCCCAAAAAGTGAAATATATGAGTTACTATTCCTAATGGTATGGTTAGTCAATTGCAATCCCTCTACGTTTTAGTAAAAAAAAAAATCATTAAAGAAGGAAAATGAATCCTGAATGTAACCTGAAAAGAATCCATTAACCTCTTCTGGTTAGATCAAGAAAATGCCAGCAAGAAAACTTTCTGAATAGCATCGGCTGCGTGGGGAGAATCCCTGGATTCAATAGCGAAGCACTTTTAAGCCCGTTTGGTGGCACAGGAGACAGTACAGCATGGAAAACCACAGCCGTTCAACAACTGAACCAAAAAGTGATTTAGAAAAAGGTGAAGTTCTTGCAACACTGCAGCCAGTTTTATGTTTCCCTTTTTATGCACCCACCAGGTTGATACATAATAATCTATTTCTAAGTATGAAAGAGTTCTTTCACTAAGGTTGAAATACAACTACTAAATGACAAGAAATCATTCCATTTTAGTTTACTTGGCAGCAAATTTTTTTTTATTGTTGTTAATCCTCACTCGAGGAGATTTTTCCACTTATTTTATAGAGAGTGGAAGGGAGAGGGTGACACAGAGAGAAACTTCCATGTGTGTGCGGGACCAGGGCTGGGGATCCTGCAACCACGGTACATACCCTTCACCAGGATTGAAACCCTGACCCTTCAATCCAAAGGCCAACACTCCGTCCACTGAGCCAAACCGGCTAGGGCTACTTGGCAGCATTTTTTTTTATCCCAACATGACATTATCATAAAGGTGGAGGAAGTGCCATCGTGCGTCAGCTGCGCAATCTTTCCAGGCCAGATTTCTGTCCAGTGGCCGTGGGGACTTTTTAGCAGAGCTTAATTATCTATAAAGTTGAGCTCTAAAAGTTAATATTTCCCCTCAATCCTTTGTTATCCCATTATAGATCACAACCCATTCATTCAGCAAACATTTATTTAAAAGATCCTAGGTTGATTTTATATGCATTTCAGTCCCTCCCCCATAGAGAAAAAAAGTTATCCTACGTATGTGTTATTTCACATTCTCCTTTCTTCATCAGAATGAAAACTGCTTTTTTATGTTCACAAGTCATAAAAATTCCAATAATTCCTATATTTTATAAGCTGTTTAAGCTAACATTAGGCTAATGTCTTAAAAGGAAAATGCTATAGGGAAAACCTAGGTCCCATTTCTTTTTTTTCTTTAGTTTTTTATTTTTATTTATTTATTTTAGAGAGAGAGAGAGAGAGATAGACATCAATCTGTTGTTTCACTTATTTATGCATTCATTGGTTGGTTCTTGTATATGCCCTGACTGGGGGCAAGTGAGCTATCTGGCTAGGGTTAGGTCCTAATCCCGAATCAAAAAAATAAATAAATAAAAATATATTTAGATTCCATCCGGTAAGAGATTGGATTATTTACCTCAAAAATTATATTACTGTACACATCTACCTATTCATAGTCAGGTGAAATCACTAGGAAGCTTTCACCCACTGGCGTGGCATTTCACCTCTTTAAAGAGTATAATGTCATTTTTAAAGGAAAAGGATTCACTCATATTCCACATCCAAATCATGACTTTAAAATTAATTAGGAGGGTCACAAAATATCTCCATCCATTATGTCTTGTCCTTGATTCCTCCCTGTAAGATGACCTCCATCCTTGACAAAAATTTTATCCAAAAGGAGAGGGAAGGATGATAATGTAATGTCTTCATCTTACTGATCATTAGAACAAGAAGAAACACATAGCTTAAAAACTACAGACTTATATGGTGGACAAATGGAGGATGGCAGCGTAAATGTGGGGACGGGCTAGAGTGCAGGAGGAGATTGTGTGAATGGGTTAAATCCTCATCCATCAGATAAGAATGTAATGTGTAATGTGTGAAGTCAGAGAATCACTAACTAGCACTATAAGCCTATTTTTAACTAAACCTAGAGATGACCCACCAGAGCTCAAGACAATGTTTTTCGTGGTTGCTCCTGTTTGTCAGGAGTAAATGTGGGCAAAGGCATGGCAATGGAGCAGGCGACTACAATTCTAACAGTATTTCCCACACGTCAATTTAAAATTATGCACAATGAGCCCTGGCTTGGGGGCTCTGTGGGGTGGAGTATCATCCTGTGCACCAGGTGGTTGCAGATTTAATTCCTAGTTGGGGCATGTGCCTTGGTTGCAGGTTCGCTCTCCAGTCAGGGTGTGTGCAAGAGGCATCCCATAGACAGTTTCTCTCTCTCTCTCTCTCTCTCTCTCTCTCTCTCTCTCTCTCTCTCTCTCTCTCTCTCTCTTCCCCCCTCCCACCCTCCCTTTCTCGCCTCTCTGAAAATCAATAGAAGGAGCATATCTTCGGGTGAGGATTAAATAAATAAATAAAATATGCACATGAATGAGATTTAACTTATCCATTATAGTTTTCCCATCCTATTCTTCCTTCCATGTAGTCAAAACCAATTCCTTTCCACTTTTATATTCTGTAGATAAACCTGTAATACAACTCCATACAGTGGCATAGCTGGGACATGGTTTGACATAGTTGATTTCCAATACACAATTCTTTACCAACTCTTACCATATCCCACTCCTTTCTCTTTTTTCTTTCCTTCCCCTCTTGTTTCTCCCTACCCATTTTTAATTTTTTTTCCTTTCTTTTTTTCTTGCTAGTAAAACCACAACCTGTAGCCCTTAAAGATAGTATTTTTAACTTCTGGTGATAATCAGGACTGACAATGTTACTTACCTCACCCTTGTTCCTTCCTTTAATTCAAAAGTCATTTCAAAGCTTATGTCCTCTGGAGTTTTAACTTTTTTTAAAAAAAGTATTATTATTGCCTTTCCATACAGTGAAGTCATTAATATGAGAACTATATATATTCTTGAGCTTTGCCCCCTATTAAACTTCCAAATGTCTTCACTGGTTGACTTGCAACAGTATAGAATTATTTCATGGCTGAAGTATCTCCCGTCCTTACCACCAAAGCCTCTACAAGATGCCTCACTATCACAAGGTCAATTGTATCACCTATATTTTCTTATTTTATGTATTCCTGATGCTCTGAAATTTGAAGCCCAAGGACCCAGGGGTCCCCCCTTCCCAGGGTTAACTAATTCCCAGACATAAGGAGACAATGTGCCTTCCAGCAAAGCTTTGATGTGCAAGTGAACCAGTCCCTGAGTCCAAACTGCCCTCTCATCTCCGTTTATCAGACCTCTGGCCCTAGCCCTTCATTACAGGGCCAGATACCAGACAACTAGAGATCCAATCTCCAGGCA